CCGTAACCGATTTTCTCTCATATTTCCTTCAATTTCGACTACTCCTACTTTACCTCGGATATCCTTATTCTTAATCTTATCCTTTCTCGTGTGCCCACACATCCAACGAAGCATCCTCATCTCCGCTACACCCATTTTATGTACGTGTTGATGCTTCACCGCCCAACATTCCGTGCCATACAACATCGCCGGCCTTATTGCCGTCCTATAAAATTTTCCCTTGAGCTTCAGTGGCATACGGCGGTCACACAATACGCCGGATGCACTCTTCCACTTCATCCATCCAGCTTGTATTCTATGGTTGAGGTCTCCATCTAATTCTTCGTTCTTTTGCAAGATAGATCCTAGGTAGCGAAAGCGGTCGCACTTTGGTACTTCCTGATGTCCGATCCTCACCCCTAACTCATTTTGGCCCCCATTTGCACTGAACTTGCACTCCATATATTCTGTCTTTAATTGGCTTAGGCGAAGGTCTTTAGATTCCAACACTTCTCTCCAGAAGTTATTAAGTGTTGACAAAATTAATAAATTAGTTTTGATAATTATCAAGTTCGTCTCTTTTCTTCTATATGTATGAAAATGCTTTCTACATTCCTCTTTTAATTTATAGTTGTACACATAACCAAAATAGTATTTGATGGATGTTGAGTCAGTTACAACGCGGTTAAGATAGACTATCTTCCCTTTTGTTTGTTTCTTTTTAACACAAATGTTGTGCTTGCAGAGAAGGAGAACTTGTGCCTGTATGGACTACCAAATGAGACATGGGAAGTTAACCTGCCTGTTGAGGAGGTTCCTCCTGAACTTCCCGAGCCAGCATTAGGTATAAACTTTGCTAGGGATGGGATGCAGGAGAAGGACTGGTTGTCACTGGTTGCAGTTCACAGTGATTCATGGTTGCTTGCTGTTGCATTCTATTTTGGTGCACGTTTTGGGTTTGGTAAGAATGAAAGGTATGAACTTGGTTTTTCTCTGTATTTGCACAACTTATATTAGAAAATTTTAGTTAAAACAACTCACCTCTTAAACATATTCTATTATCAATTGGGAAATGCACAAGCTGCGTTGATGAGTTATAATCTTTTGTTATCGTATGTGATATTTCTATGTAGCACCAAGTATTGAATATATTTATTCAGCCTGAGTTATTCTTCTGCAGTATAGAGATCACGCTGTTGTCTGGTGTATTGAATTTTATTTGTTACAGAACTTTTTCTACTTTAACAACAGTTGCTAGAACCCCAATTTAATTATTATTTTTTAAATCTCCATATTACAACCTCTAATGACTGTTTTCAAAAGCAGTAGAGAAAAGAGTTACCTGCCATATGAAACTTCGAGTCAGCTTTTTCTGTTGACATATCTATCAGCTGAATACTATGTCTTTTTAGTACATCAGTTTGTGCGGGTTGTGGTATCTTATTATTGATAGTTACCTTGCATACGACTGCTAAGCTGTTTACATATTTTGTATGCATGTTTGAATGAGTTGTTACTTTATCCACATATGACATTATGTGGCTGGTTAAACTAAAGAAGATTTAGAACTTTCTTTAAAGTTAATTTATAAATTCAACGCATCTACTTATAATAACCTAGTTTTCTACCTCCTACTTTTTATTTCTAGGCTATTCCAAGGAAAATGCTTTTGTTTGCTATCCTCATGGTTTATATAGCCTATCCATTAAATACTAGCATTTGATTATGTTGAATCAACTAATGCTAGGTATGTAGCAATACTGATAGACTTCTTGCATGGACTGTGTTCAAGTGGATGAAAGTGGAGGTCCCTTGCTGCTTCCTAATATGTTCTGCTCTTTGTTACACAGAAACGTCGTTTAATATAAGATATCTGCATATACTTTTGGGGTGCCTTTTTCACTCGCTCCACTGCAAAGCTCTTTTAGGCTGCATTGGAAACTATGGAATTTTTTTATTGCATTATCTAGAAAGGTTGTCAGTGTCTTCCTGATTGTAGTAGGTGAAAAATTATGTTCTTGGATCAGTCGCCTGCCTCTTTTGCCCCCCCCCCACTCCCTCTTTGATTCAGGATGCTAAAAGGGTTTTAACAGTGGATAATTTGAATTATTAAACAAACCTTCTGTAGTTCTGCAACCAAACTGCTTAGAATAAGTCCTAGTGTCCTTTCATTACGACTACAAGGGCTTCTATCTTTTTTCTTTTAGTAATTTCGAGGTTTTCCTGTCTTCATGCTATGAGCTACCTGCATTAGACAAGAGTGCTGACATGCGAGAATGATAGACAAATTGAGCAGAGATTGTTATGGTATTTTTATCTTACCTGATGATATTTGTGGTTTTTTCTTCTGCTGAGAAGAGATTTAATTTCTTATAATATAGAAATTTGGTGGCTGGGATTCAATTTGGCTTGAACCAGCATTTGAGAATTTCATTGCTTGGGTACCTGAAAAGCCTTTAAATCCAATTGTTTTACTGTAATATCTCGCTATATACAAGCGTGTGTGTGTGTGTGTGTGTGAGACTCTGTGTATATGTGTATGTGGGTATGCATTCCTGTATGGGCAGGGAACTTGGGGGTTTAGATCATTTGCATAACTTTATTGATGATTGATTTCAGATGATCTTCCTCCGTCCACTTCCAATCTATTTTCCTCGTTTTGACTGTCTGTCATTGAATATTCTTGTGGATACCTTACTGGCATAGCCTTAAATCTTGTCTGAAGACACATAGTCTGATGTCTGCATTGTTCTAAATTATTTAACTCATCATACATCTGTGATGTTTGGCTATTGTCTACAATCATGTTTTCTTGGTAATAATGGGTATTCTGAAGATATCCTAGAGGTTTGAGAATGTCATAAAGAAGTGGTTTGCAAACTTCTTTTTTCTGGGGTCAGTGGTGTGGGAACTGATTGCAGATGAATTCATTATTGGGTTTAAAGTTGACATGCAAAATTTTAACTTCAAGTTAATTATTTCATGATTAATCAAGATAGTTTCTATTCAGTACCAGTTATATGCAATCCCTATGGTGTTGGACCAGTGGATTTCATTGATATTGATGGGATTGAGAATGTCAGAGTAGAGCCGTTCATGTTGTAGGATAGGGAAATATACCCGTTCTGCAGAAGCCAAGTGATAGGAGCTAACTTATTCTGAAACTTTAGTTGGATAATATCATATGAAGGTGGTTCTAATTTTATTTGGCTTTGAAACTTGCAGGAAGAGGCTTTTTCAGATGATAAATGATCTCCCCACCATATTTGAAGTTGTGACAGGAAATGCTAAACAACCAAAAGACCAATCTACTCCTCACAACAGTAGCAAGAACAAATCCAGTGGAAAGGGGGTAAGATGTGGACTAGTTTTCGTGATATGATTTGTTTTGTTTTGTTTTGTTTATATGTCTTCCTTCTATAGCCATTGTTTTCCCTTTATAATTAATCCTAGCTCTTTCCTTGTTGGTGCTGCCTTTAAACAGTCTCGGCAGTCTGAGCACCCCCAGAGCAAAGGAGTAAAAATGTCTCCGCTGCCTAAAGAAGAGGATGACAGCGGGGAAGAAGAAGAAGAAGATGATGAACAAGGCGCGACTTGCGGGGCGTGCGGAGACAACTATGGGGCTGATGAGTTCTGGATTTGCTGTGATGTGTGCGAGAGATGGTTCCATGGAAAATGTGTAAAGATTACACCCGCAAAGGCTGAGCATATCAAGCAGTACAAGTGCCCAAGTTGCAGTAGCAAGAGGGCTAGAGTTTAAATCTAGGTTCTGAACGTGGAGAAGAAAACCAATCAAAGAAAGCAGATGAGGGTTTACAACTATCATTACAATTTGGAGTAAAACAGAGTCAGTTGTCTATCTTAGTTGATGAATTTGAATGATTGCAAATGGGATTCTTCTAAGTTTTGCTACTCTTTGCTATTGTTCTGTCTAATTTTCTCAGGAATTTGTTTCTAATATGAATAGTCAGCTATAAATATGTTCGTGCGGTCACCCGGTTTGAGTTTTGATGCATTTATTTGACGTCCATATGCTTTGTTGTCCATGCTGCTTTCTAATCTTCTTGGCGGCTAGCGTTACATTTTACTAGTATTAGTACAATAACGTGTTTTATAAGAAGGCACAGATGTTGAGCGAGTTCTTTGTGCAGTCGTGGAGTAACTGTGCATGCTGCCTCTCTGGTAAGTTTCTCCAAGAGATCTAGTCGTGCTTGTGCTGGAGGATTTGGCTTGGTTACTGAGGCACCAAAGTTGGGGGAAAAAGTGGATCATGTTTACTTGGAATTGCTCTGCTCCAACGTTAGGGAGGGGACTTGGGATGAGGAGTACCATCTCCGAGTATAGCTCTTTGATTACATTTGTATCATGTTTATTAGGATTAAACTTCTGTGTCTTTTCACAATTCACAATCGATAAACTCCGACTCTCTCTCAAGAATGCAATGAAAATTGCAAATTGAATCAAACAGGTCGCACGCATCCATGATTTCGTGTACACATCATTACCTGATCACGTATTACCTTGTATGGCAATCAATCATTCCGTGTCGACGTTACGCGATTGCCTTTGCGAACTTAACCGGGTGCAGAGAAAGAAAGCAGAATGTAAAATTTTTGACTTAATTAAAGAAGATCAAACGACATAAATTAACCAGGGTGTGTGAATAGCAGCACACCCCTTGTAAAAAATTAGACGTGTGAATAAAGAAAATGATAAACACGTATCATTTTAGCTTCTTACACACTTATAAATCTTGGATGTTGATTATGTTTTATTATGTTTGACTTATTCAATTCAAAAGTTAGAAAGATTTTACACACTCAAATTTTGTGTGAAAATCATTTCTTTTAATTAAAGAATTATTTGTGGCTTTTATTTTACATAATGTGCGCCTCACGATTTACCCGTCAGCGGTCACGATTAAATGATGAAAAAGTTGATTCCTGACAGCAGGATCTGAGGTCAACGGCCAGGATCTAAAGGCTTGGTAAAGGTCGGGAAAAAGCGATAAGAAAAAGATTGACCGTCCCTGTGTCTAGACAAACAGAGAGACTAGTTGCAACCTGCACTTTGCAACACCAAAGCAGCATAGCGATGGCGTCAATGTCTTTGACGATGAACACCACCACGACGATGACGACATCAAAAGTATCTGGATTCCAGCTCTTTCGGCTTCCCAAAGTAAGAAACTTTCAATTTAACTTCGCTCGGCAATGTTCAACGGTTCAAGTGAGTGAGACATATCATGGTCAAGGTTGTGTGCGCCAATTTTAATGGTTTATTGGTTTTCTGCAGCAGCAGCAGCAGCATTTTTCTGTTTCTAATCCTGTCAGAAGATACTGCGGTGCCCTTCTTCCATCATGTCAATACGCTTCACAGAATCACAATCTTACGGTTAAGAGGTATACTGCTTATGCTCATCTCTGCAAACTGCAAACTGCATACTTTTTCTCTTTTTTTTTTTCCTTCACCTCTTACATATCTACATCGTATAGCTTATTACAATTTACATGCTAATCGAAATTTTCTTGTGTTAAACCCTTTTTCGAATAATATTTCAATCTTTTTGAGTTGATTATCGTGTTGCAGTCCTAATAACTCTGGCCATGCTCGTTTATCCAGCCCGATATATGCAGCCGCTGGTTCAGGTTCTGTTTCTTCATGTTTTCTTGTGTTTGTAATTAATTTGAGAGAGTTATTCATTGTTTTCGTTTTGCAGGTTTAGCGGCATCAATTGGAGATGCACAAGGCAATCTGATAACCTTGAAAACAGCCAAGATTGTTGTAGAGTCCCAAGACGACAATAAGATACAGGTGAGTTTGCCGGCAACATCCAATTGATACAGAATTACAACATGCATGCATTTTGTCACTGTAATAATTGATATTTTTTTTTCTTCTGATTAATTGTAATACTTTATGCATGCATGCGAAGGAAGGATACAATGAGGTAGGTTTATGTTGGTGTACGAAAACACAAGTAACATTCAAGGTAACCGGGAAATTTGATTCTAAAACAATCTGTAGAAAATCTTTTTAAGTCGGATGCGCATTGGAACTGAGGTGGTCCCAAGGCCATCCGGAGTCTGGGAAATGTACATGTGAAGGTCTTCCAAGGACTCTTCAAATGTTAGGTATGAGTATTTTTTGTGCCCACCTAGTTTTTGATATAATGCATGCTAGGCATGCCTCGGCAACACTCGGCAAGTTGCGTCGAGTGCGCTCGAAGAATTCTCTCTATAATACTCATCAGATTGTTTCAACATATGTTGCTATTTATTGACATGTGTGCAACATTCGGCTGACGACAACAAGCTCACCAAGTGTTCGAGGGAATGCCTTAGTGATAACTGAATTTTTTTTTTTCACGCTTCGCCCTCTGTTTCTATTAAAAAACTTAGACCTTTAACACTAGGACCCCCCAATGTTTGAATTCTCTTGGAGTTGGAGGCTGCAGATAAATTGTTCCCATTTTCGTGGAAAAGTTCATAGCAATATAATTGCCTGATTGCGGCTACGTTTTTTGCAATTTATGTTTCAAAGGCCTCAGGAGTCGGGACCTTATATTGCAAGTTGCTGTGATGTTCCATTGCCAGGTTAGAGTAGACTTGACTGGAGACGACACACAAAAAGTTTTTGATAGGGTTTTGACAAATTTGGCACGCACAGCACCACCAGTTCCTGGATTTCGCAGACAAAAGGGAGGTAATAGTCCATTAATGTTCCCCTGCCACCGTTGGATTAATAGTAACCTACTTACCTAATGGCTCTGGTGCATACTGATACTGCTGCAGGAGATAGACAAGAGAAAGTCTATCTTATATTTTGGATCATTGTGGAAAGAAGCTCCAGAAATGGCTCTTCAATTTGGATGATGTCTTCTTCTTTCATATACATGCTTAGCAACTTTTGAAATTTTGAGTCCATAAGTTTTAACCATAAATTATCCTTTTCATGTGCTTTGGGACTAGTGCAGGAAAAACATCCAAGGTTGGTTGGCTTTATTCCTGATAACAGCTTAATATTGAATTTCATCAGTTGGTTTCACTTGCAATTAAGCTAATTGTTCTTTGATGGCTAACTTGGAAACTTTTCCGAGCAGGTCCCAAAAAGCTTTCTGTTGGATATACTTGGTAAGGAGCGTGTCACGAAGTTTGTCATACAAGAAATAATAAACTCTACTATGGCTGATTATGTAAACAAGGCAAGTCACCCACTTTCACTGCGTGCGTCTCTTTCGTATCGTATAATTCTCTGTCGCCAGCCACCCCACCCAACATTGTCAAATCTCTGTTTGGTTTCAGGAAAACTTGACTGTGAAGGAAAACAAAGTCCGCACCACTCAAACAGCTGAGGAGCTCAAACTGTTGTTCACTCCAGGAAATGAATTTGGATTCAATGCTACACTCGAGCTCGAAACTTCAGAATTGGAGACGCCAAGCTGAATCTCGTGAGGGATGGTTATTGATTAAACTTGCTACTTTCTAATTATTTCAAAGAGTTAATCCACGAAATTTTGTAAATTATAGCATCCTCTAGTGATAATCCACGAAAGAAGAGGAAAGGAATGCCTCCTCGTCCTCGTCCCCTCACAAATAGAAATATTTGGATGCTGACATGTTTACTTGAGCTCTTTTTCTTGGAATCTGTTGGAGCGATATTATTTTAAACTGTAACATGAAGAACAATACACAACTAAACAGTGTCGGAATTGAAATTGTATTCGGACCAGGAAAACTGAAAAACTGCTGGTGGTTGATATGAAATGATATCATCTGTTCTTAACATGTATAATCCATCAATTATGGATGTAAAAGTACAACATTTTCGAGTAAACATGCGTTGCGTGCAGCCATTTTCTTACTAATATGCAAAGCTAAGGAAACTAATATAAAAACTGGTGCCAGAATGATTGTACCCCTCACCAGTCACCACCGCAAATGCCACCTAATATGAACAGGTTGGTGATCCTCGGCGAAAATCCATAACAACCAGAGTAGCAGCGCTATGTGCAAGTGCGCCTAGCACAACAAAGATGTGGAAGATCTGATGGCTGTGCCCTACAATATCAAACTTACCGGGCTTCCACCGTTCTGGTATTCTAGCGACATAGAATGCTGCTCCCAAAGCATATAAGATGGCCATAACAAGTTCATAAGCCAAAGCAACAATTATATGTTGATTGCCCCAATGGATAACTAGGGCATGAAGCGCAGGAATGACTCCAGAGAAGCCCATAGAGAGGAAAAGGGTAGCCCTAAATGGGCGGAAACGGGGTGCGGAGAGACTAGGCGAAAGAAGGGTAACAATGACGAGGATCCCGAGCAGAGATATGGAAGAAAGGTAGAAAAAGCGAGAGCAAGGGTTGCAGGAGAAGGCATAGTAAACGGGAGCAAAAAAAGAAGAGACGATCATAAGAGAGATGCCGGCATAGTCTAGGCGCCAGAAATAAAAATTGAAGCGTTTAGAGTGACAAGCAACGAGGTGGGAAAGGGAGCTGCAGACCAAGCATCCCATAGCTCCACCTAGGAACACAAACCACGGCCACATTGTAAGCGGATTAATACCATCGTAACCAACTTCTTGGTTTGCATTCGCTTTCGCATGAATGATTGATGATGCATGTCCTTTTAAGTCCTGCCTCCAACAACAAAACCATACATATAATTAAGGACATGTTGAAAATCTTTTTAAATAACTTAAAAGTGCTTTAAGAAAGCACTAATAATGAATTTAACCTTGTCAATTTAACTTCTTTTTGTCTAATATTCTAGTTACCCAAAGGGCAATCTATGGGGTCTATCTTTATTTTTATTTTTTTTACAAAATATGATTAATTAGAAAAGCAATCATAATGAATTTAAAAAATAACAACACAATAATTCTAAACCAGTCAACTTCAGGTTATTTCGGCATTTACCACTTTACTTCGCTAATACCATTGTATTTATATGCACTCCAATATGTAGTACTTCTCTCCATAAATAAGTAAGAGATTTGAAATTTGAATCACATAAATAACGAATTTTATTCCTAATTATTATGTCTACCTTCACTTACTCCAAATTTCCACTTTTGATATAGAATATCGTTATTAAAGAAAAATAGAGTATTTATATGCACATAATGATTTTGTATAACCAATTTGCTTACATTTTACTAGAATGATTTTGTATCATTTTGTTATTTTAGCTATACGTAGAATTAGTTTTATATACTTTATTAGTAGAATCAGGTTGTATCATTTATTGCTTCTAACTATCTGCAAAATCAATTTTGTATACTGTATTAATAGAAGGGAAATTTTATTTGGACCCAATAATCCTATTTCTACACCCATTAAATTTTGTTAAATTTTATATTCCAATTATGCCCTAAAGAAAAGATGGGTGTAGAAAGATATTATCAACTGGGGAATGGGTGGGTCGAAATGGCCCTGAGAGCCACAATTGTGGGTTGCTGGAAATCGGAAAAGGGATTGCCAAAGGGTGGAGAAGAACAACAAAAATATAGTGGAGGACGGTTGTGGTCTTTAACGACATCAGGAGTATGTGTCGCCAGAGCTGGGTTGGGTTCATCGAAGAAATATAGGGGCCGTGATGTTGAAACCGACTGCTCTCTCTCTCTCTCTCTCTCTCTCTCTCTCTCTCAAATTTTGGTTTCTCATCAATTCTCTCTTCACCAAATTTCAAATGACTACGAGCTTTGTCATCCTTGAAAGCATATATAGCTTTATAACTTGTCCACATATGGAACTTCATCGTTATTTAATTTCAGGATTTGCAAGACTGCACCAGTCTTTTGAGCTACAATTTGCTGGGTTTTTATAATTAGTTCATTAAGGTTTAAGGAGATAATAGTCAGACCAAAATCCAGCCCCATGGAATTGGGCACGAAGAATTGAAAAACGACAAGATGAAGAGCAGATCGGTGGCGACAGTTTCTGGAAGGACAAAATTTCATGGTTGTTGTCGGGGTAGGTGGTTGGGTGGGTTTACATGATTGTGCAATTTTTTTCAAGTATGTAAATTTTGTATTTGAGGGTAAAATGGCAAGTTTGTGGGACAAAATTTATAAGTTGGATGACGAAAGAGGATTAATGGGTTTAAATAAAATTTCCCTTAATGGAATTAGCTTGTACACTTTCAAAGAATATGTAGAAAAAAAAAGTTTAACTATTTATATAATCAGTTTAATTATATACGTGGAATTAGTTTAACTATACACACAAAACGTGCGAAGGAGGATAGAGAAAATAAGTTACGCAAGAGAAATGAAAGGAAAGAAGAATGGAAGGAAAAGAGAGAGAAAGAGAGAGGAATCATCTTTTATGTGTTTGTTGACCCTAGAAACTACAGAGCCTACGTGGCGCGCATGCCGAGTATTTTCTAAGCTAACTACGTCCTTCGGTGATTGCGGGGCGTGCCAACTCGTCGGCCGAGCTCGGCCGAGGAGTAAATTTGTTGATGTTGCGTTGAGCGCGCTGATGACTTCTGTGTCTTGCGATTGCGGCCGAGGAAGGAACAATTCTCGGCCTCTTGGGTTCTAGAGCCTGAAGACAAGGCTGCTAAAATGCGAAGTTCACGAACCGAATTCGGCTTTCAACGTGCCGAATACAATAACCTGGTAACACCTCACTTCGCCGAGAGGGCTGATGAGATGACCTCAACCAATAAGGATTCGAAAATCCTTCTCAACCGAGACTTGGATAGGTAACCAGTCGTCCTCGCCGTAGTGTTGTTGATGCCAACGGAAGATGCTGCAAGATCGGCTGATTCTACGGTGACAGAGCTATCTATGCCGACTTAAGATATCACCGGTTGCTTTCACAGTGCTGTTGATGCCAACGGAAGATGTGTCAGCGAAAAAGAAAAAGAAAAATCACAAGTTGTGAGAGTTTGCGCAGGGCAATTTTGTATTGATTTTGTAGGGGCTTTTCCTGATGCACAGCGTCCCCTATTTATAGTACTGAACCTTGAGTCCGAGTTTACATCCTACTCGGACTAGGTTTCCATCTCCGGATCACCTCGACCAATCCTACACCTACTAGGACTATGAACCTAGTCCTTAGCAAAGCTGGATTAGTTTCCTGGATATCCGATCCCGTCGAGACTCCCCATTGCACTAGGATTCGTCCTAACCGCCCTAGGTTTGGACTCCCACGGGTTGACCGATCCATGGTCCTTTTGCCGCCTGGCCTCCTGGGCCGAGAGTGATCCTACCCTCGGCCCAAACTATCATTTTGGGCCCAAACAGTGTTATAAGAATAAAATTGTAAATGCAAAAAAAAAAAAAAAAAAAAAAAAAAAAAAAAAAAAAAACCAATACATCACATGCTACGAGAATAAAAGTTTGGTGCTCATGAAGTTGGCAGGCAACACAAGCCAAGCAAACGGGACAGACGTTGTGAGACCCACGCGGGTTCTTTATCAATTGACTGATTCTAATTCCGTGACCGCGTGGAGGTGGATGGACTAGAATTATTCCCAACTCGTAAAAAAAAATAAAAAATAAAAAAGAGACTGACCGGCGAACGAGGAAGAAATGCATCCACATTGTGAGAGGAGGAAGAGGAGGAGGAGACATTGATCAACGGTCCAGGAACCGCAATAGCCCTGCTAACGTCGCCGGCCGGCATATTTACCCACCAAACAGAAAGCAGCAACAGTGAGCGAGTTGTTGTTGTAATTACAAAAATAGCCGTGTTGTGAGCAATGGTTACCTGGAGAAAATGCGCAGCTCCAATGGTGAGTTGTTGGTCAAGGTCATGACCGTCAGTCCCAGAAATATCAAAAACCCCACCAAGTGGCTGCAGCACAAGTAATTATAAGTAGGCCAATTTCTTAATCAATTTAATATGATAACTAATTTGCAGGTAGAGGTAGTTAGGCAGAATTAAGCAAGTAATTGAGTTAATTAAATAAAGAGGGAAATGAATCAAGGCAGGGAATGAGCGTATCGTACGTCCAGATGTTGAGGGTTTCGTTGTGGCAGGCAAAGACGCTGAACAAGAGATCCTTCAAGGGCCACTCGCATCTGTAGTAATCCAATATGTACTCGTTGTCCTTCATGTAGGGCGGAAGCTCCTCGAACTTCCTCAACGCCGTCGTCTTGGTCGTCTTCTTCTTCCTACTACTAGTATAACCGGTACTAGTACCCCACCACTCCATTCGCTTCCTGTGATTGCACATGATCTCTCTCTCTCTCTCTCTCTCTCTCTCTCTCTCTCTCTCTCTCTCTCTCTCTCTTCTTTTCTTTGTTTCCTTTTCTTCTTCCGATTTCTGGCTGGTCCCTCTCTCTCTTTCTCCTCTTTGATATGCATTTCTTTAATGAAAGGGAAAGGGCATAAGTAAGTAAGTGGGTGGGCTGCTTTCTTGCGTGCCACTTGCCTGGTTAGACTTTGAATTCAAACTACATCATCAAAGTCAAAGGAGTTGAGCTAGCTTTAAGCTCTAGTCTGTACGTAGCTGTGAAAAAAACGTGGAAATTACCTGGAAATCTGTCTATTATTATTATTATTCCATTCGAACCAGAGTTTACGCAAATTTGGTGGAAGGTGAAACGTAATTTGGGTGATCATGAGATATATAGTATATGGTATTGAAGCCATCCTTCTTTCTTGGTTGCGTGCGTACAAATACAATAAAAGAGTGTGCTCCTGTTTGCATATGCACCCAAATGCCGTCTGTTTCTTCGGCCATTCCCCTCAGCTGCATTCCATCCAAGGCGATGATCTTAACTACAAGTGCCAGTTTTCCAAGGCATCCAGGGACTCCAGCATTGGTATTCATAGTCGGAACGTGTTTGATTTGATTCTTCAAGTGCCTGCAAATCAGAATTTGAAGGATGATCAAGAAGGTGTTTGTGTTTACCAACGCGGGAGGGTCTGATAGCCACAGCACCACACCTGCGAGATTATACATTAAGGAGCAAGGTGCCACACATTCTGTATTGGAATATTACCAAGGACTTACAAGCCTTGTCCAAGCCAAGAGGCAATGCATTTACAAGGAGGGCAGGGCAGGGCAAGAGAACAAAACATGTCTAAAGCATAAAGTCTCATTCACTTTATAATCTTGTTTTAACATTCATCCATTTAAAACAGTACCCATCAATCTCAATTCCCTAGGGATTGCAGAGGCAATCGAATCAATGGTGTTCACCACTAGTTGGACAACTTACTGGGTATAAAAGGTTCTCTCCTGAATCAGAAAAATTCTCAAGCTACATTGCTGAGAGTGAGAATGCAGTAATCTACCTGTACAATGCAACAGGCTGGCCTAAAAGCCGAAGATATTGCTTTGCCATGTTGGCACATTTGCTTTGAGCATTAGCCATTTGGTATGTCCTCATTAGCATGAAAATGGCAAATTTATCGAAACCCATTACCAATAGTCTCCGCAAGAACACACCCCATCACTGAAACAGTGGAACCTGTTATTATCCCTCAAAATAATTTTCCTTCCTTCCAACTTAGATATCATCTTGATAGCTGTGTGGCAATCCCAGCACACCCTCAGATTCTTCACTACCCTAATCACTGCCTCTGCATCGGTAACAAGAAGAGCGAAACAAACTGCCAATTTTTCACTATGGGTACCCACCATCTCTTCTTTCTCTTCCTCCTCAACATCTCTTAGCACACAGGTCTTATCAGCCATGTACCCAGCATTTCTCATTTTCCTCCCTAATTCTGCCAATAGCCTATAAATGTCTTCCGACTGCTCATGTGATCTATCTCCCACAATGAACTTGTGCATCTTGCCTTTGTATTCAACCCAACTCCACCCCGTTGCTTTCTTCACGCCTATTTTTCTCATTGATTCTCTAACTCTCACAACATCATCCCACCTGCCTGCTGAGGAGTATATGTTTGAAAGTAAAATGTAATTCCCTGAATTATGTGGTTCAAGCTCAAACAGCTTGCTTGCAGCAAACTCCCCAAGATCAATTCTTTTGTGGATTCGGCTAGCATTTAAAAGAGACCCATAAACTCCAGCATGTGGTTCCTTCAGCATGCTATCAATTATTTCTTTTGCTTCATCTAGTTTACCCGCTCGACCTAACAAATCAACCACACATGCATAATGATCTACATCAGGTGCTTTGATTGACTCAAAAACCTTCCATCCTTCTTCTAACAACCCTGCATGGCTACATGCTGAAAGAATACCAATATATGTTACACGGTCCGGTTCAATAAACTCTCCTTTCATCTTCAACAGTAGTTTGACGGCTTCCATCCCATGACCATGAGCTGCAAACCCTGCAATCAAAGTGTTGTAGGAAACTACGTCTCTTGTTTTCATTTCTTGAAATGTCATCTTGGCATCTTCCATGCTTCCACATTTAGAGTACAAGAATATCAAGGAATTATATCCTGATACACTTAGCCTGATATGGTGTTTCCTGACAATACTGATGACCCAATTACCGATGTCTAAGGCCCCAAGATGTCCACATGCTGAGATGACACTCACCATAGTTACCTCATTTGGTTTGAGACCATCAGCAGCATTAATCATATCTTTAAAGAGATCAAGTGCAAGAGCTGACTGCCCATTTTGAGCATAACCAGAAACCATTGAGTTCCACGAGACAACATCCTTTTGTGGCATCCTATCAAACAGCTCTCTAGCAGAAGCCAAATCCCCGACCCTTGTATATGCTGATATCATGGCATTCCAGGTAATGGTGTTCCTATACGCCCCCAATTCATCAAAAATTTGTCTAGCAGTATGGAGGCTCCCACGCTTTGCATACATATCAAGCAACGCTGTCTTGGAAAAATAGCTTAAATGGATCTGCTTTTGGTTGAGCTTTTGAACGAGCGAATCAGCAAGGGAGCAATCACCGCATGACGAACATGATGAAATGACAATTGCCCAAGTAGTTTCATTTGGTTGATCTCCGGAGTTCATCATGTCATCAAACAATCTTAAAGCGTCTTCAGGACATCCATTCTGAGCATAAGCCGAGAGCATTGCATTCCAGGATACAACATTTTTCTGCGGAATTTGATCAAAATACCTCCTTGCGTTCTTCAAATCCTTGATCCTAGCATATCCAGTAACCATGGAAGTCCAAGTAACAACATTCCTTTCGGGCATCATATCGAAGAGTTTGCAGGCATCATCTTTATTCCCCCACTTCCAGTAGCCAAAAATCATATTATTCCAGTCCACAAGAGTTGAGTCATGCATTTCAGCAAACAGGTATCGGGCGTGCTCAACCGGGCCGTATTTAGCATAGAAGGCCATGATGGCATTGCGGACGTAGTGATCAGAAGCAAGACCTAACTTGAGAACATGGGCATGGAACTGAATGCCGGCACTGGCGGCTGACTTGATCAAAACCGGGTAGACGAAGGTGCCGATGGTTAAGTCAGAGCGCTGCTGCATTTGTCGATAGAGAGAAGCAACTTGATCAACGCCTCCTAAGTTGAAATTGGAATTGGAGTAGTACTTGAACATGGAGGTGAAGACGTGGACGTTGGGGCGAGGCGTTGAGTGGAAGATGAGGCGGGTATAGGAGGGCGGGGCGCGGAGGCGCGTGCATTGGGAGATGAGGAGTGAGACCCACTGGCACTGGGTGTGACGGTGGAGGGAAAGGTTGATGAGGAGGCGGGCATGAAGCTGCCTGAGCTGGCTCAAATTGCAGAGTTTGTATGCTAAGCTCTCTAACTCTGCCAATGACATACTGTTACTGGCATACACGCCCAATCCAATTTCCAAACATATAATTCAAATATAAGTTAAGTTGGACTCACTAGAGGAGCAGGAGCTGCAGGAATCACTCACTTGGGAGTTTTGCACCACCTCTGCACTGCACCGACTAGACCACTGACCATCAATATATTATGGTGCCTAATTTAATGGATATGCTAATGTATAATTATAATAATTTGATTCAAATTTGTTTTTAACGAGAACTGAATTTAAGACTTATCATTTTGTTTGGGCCCAAAATAGCAGTTTGGGCCGAGGGAGGTATCACTTTCGGCCCGGGAAGACTACGGCGAGAAAGTCATGGGGGCTTCAGCTCATGGGCTTCTAGGCCTAGGTCGGTTAAATCAGAATGCAAGTCGAGTCCTAATACAATAGGGACCCTCGACGAGATCAGTAAAACTAGAAGGCGAATCCGGCTCAGTTAAGGACTAGATTCGTAGTCCTAGCAGAGGTAGGACTGATTGAGGTAACGTTAATCCGGAGAAGGAAACCTAGTTCGAATAGGATTAGAACTCGGGCTCGGTGTTCTGCTTCTATAAATACAAGACATTCAGCAATGGAAAAGCCCCCACAAAAAATCAATACAAAATTGCCCTGCGCAAACTCTCACAACTTGAGATCTTTTTCTTTTCCTTTTTCGCTGACACATCTTCCGTTGGCATCAACAGCACTGTGGAAGCAACCGGTGATATCTTAAGTCGGCATAGATAGCTCTGTCACCGTAGAGTCGGTCGGTCTCGCAGTATCTTCCGTTGGCATCAAACAGCACTGCGGCGAGAACGGTCGATTGCCTATCCAAGTCTCGGTCGAGAAGGGTTTTCGAATCCTTGTTGGTCGAGGTCATCTCATTAGCCTTCTCGGCGAGGTGAGGTGTTACAGTTATTACATTCGGCACATTGTAAGCCGAATTCGGTTCGTGAACTTTGTAAGAAATAGCAGCCTTGTCTTCAGGCTCGAGAACCCAAGAGGCCGAGACGCGTTCCTTTCTCGGCCGCAATCGCAAGACGCAGAAGTCAGTAGTGCGACCCAACGCAGCATCATCAAATTTACTCCTCGGCCGAGCCTCGGCCGACGAGTTGGCACGCCCCGCAATCACCGAAGGACGTAGTTAGCTTAGAATATATTCGGCCTGCGCGCCACGTAGGCTTGGTAGATTTTAGGGTCAACATTTTGGCACGCCCGGTGGGACCCAGTGCTAAAACTACGAAGTTCATGCCAATTGAAACGCGATCGGTAAAAAAAGAAAACAGCTATGGGAAAATCAACAGCCGATTTACCGATTCAGAACGTAGGACAAAGTGTGCCACAGGCGCAGAATCCCCTTAGCGCCGGGACACCTGAGTCCACAAGTGCGACTCGCCGAGAAAAGGGAAGTTAATCTCGGCGGTCAACACCGCAGTCTAGAAATCCCTAACAGGAACACTTGTGTTCTCAATGAAGGGATAGTGGAGGATTGCGACGAGGATGGCGGTGAAGGATCTGACCCACCAACAAGGTCGTTTCTTCGAAAGCGACTCGACGAGCAGTCTCGGTCAGTTGAGCAGACGTTTAGCCGAGGTATTGACAAGCTACATGACGTGATACTCAATTCCACTGAGCAGCAAACCAGACTGCTCGAAATGCTGGTTAGTAAATTCAGTGACGGCAGGCCTTTCGATCCTCTCCAGCGCTTGCCACCAAGAAATAATCCGTTACCAATGGTACAGGCCGAGCCAATTCCTGCTCGGCCCAAACCAATTGACTTGGAAAAGGTCGGAGGGTCAAATAGTAGGTCGGACGGAATCGACCAGAGGGTCGAAGCAACACCTGTTGATATGACCGAGGTTCAGCGGATGATCGACTCGGCCATGAAGAAAGGGCCGAAGTTTCCTAAGTTTATCCATCCGTACCCGGCCTACATAGAAACGTTCGGATATCCGAAAGGTTTCAAGATTCCGGATTTTAGCCTTTTTGCCGGTGAATCGTCCTTGTCTTCGTTGGAGCACGTGGCTCGTTTCACCGCGCAATGCGGCGATGTTCATAGTGATTTCCATAAATTACGGCTGTTCAACTTCTCGTTGACCGGCTCGGCATTTGCTTGGTATATCAATCTCCCTCCTAATTCCATCCAAAATTGGGAGGAGTTGGTCGAGAAATTCCACGAGCAGTTTTATCGACCAGGGTTGGAGGTGTCGGTTTCTTCATTAGCAAGGATGGCTCAGGCATCAGATGAGTCCCCAATGGATTATCTTACCAGGTTCAAATCAGCCAGGAATTGGTGCCGAGTACCCTTGCCCGAAGTCGAGTTCGTCCGGCTTGCTTTGAACGGCCTCGACGTCGAATACAAAAAGAAATTCTTGGGGGCAAATGTTCGGGATATGTATGAATTAGCCCAACATGTCGAACAGTATGATTATTTGCTCCGCGAGGAAAAGATTTCGAAAAACTCCGTCTCGGGGGACGATTTACAAGAATCCTACCGTCAGTTATGCGTCAACCGAGGATGAATGCGTTAGTGTGGATGCGGCTGAGATAGTAATAGATAAGCCATACGTTTGCAAGGCCTTGACTCAAGTTGACTCCAGGGAAGTCAAAAGCCGCTCGGCCACTGAAGGAACATTGAAATCGTCAAAAGTGTATACTTTTGATATTACAAAGGCTGACGCAATTTTTGATCAACTGTTGTCAGCAAGGATCATCAAACTTCGGCCTGGTCACAACATTCCCAAGGCCGAAGAGCTTAAAGGAAAGGTGTATTGCAAATACCATAATTCAAGTAAACATACGACAAACAATTGTGTCGTATTTCGAGACAACGTCCAGAGCTGGATTGATAATGGAAAACTGAAATTTCCAGAGAAGAAGATGAGTATTGATGCTGATCCTTTCCCCACAGCAACCGTGAATATGGTCGATGCATACCTACCTAAGGACAAAGGAAAAGGGAAGGCCGAAGTTGTTGCGACGCAAGACTTTCGTACTCAGAATTCTCGGCCACGTTTCATGGCCGATTTTCGTTCGAACAAACCACCTACAGCTTTAACAGGACCTGCTATTGTTAAACCTATGAGGGATTATAGCACCGATGAAGATAGTGGGACGGCGGTTTTTTGCAGTAAATGTAGAGCGAAAGGTCGGCAGTGAGCCAGAGAAGAAACCATCTTCGCCTATCACAGAACGACCTACGGCCGCAATTCAGCAAAAAGCAGCCGGCGTCGGCCGACACCAAGGGGTTTTTGATAGGCTCGGCCCAAAAGTGAAGATGGAAGAGACATCCTCAGTCAGGCGGCGCCTCGATTTTGGCGCTTCATTTTATGACGAGGACTATTATACGCGTAATTCTGGTAGTTCGGAATCGTCGCGGAGTCAAAAAACCTTCAAACCTCCCGAGCCTAAAGATCAACGTTGGTACACGTATCATTCTTCGAAAGGCGTCTACACCGCGTTGTCCAAATCCCAGAAACGCCGGCACCAGAGGATAGATTGCATGGCCCGTCGGCAGGCAGCCCAAGAAACTTCGGCCCCTAAATGGCGGCCGAAGGACACAGTTGCTACTGGTGATGAACGACCATCTCCAGCTATTATGACAGAGTTGGGTCAGGGGAAACGGTTGGTCGATCGAGATATCGAGACCACGTTCGAAGAAGCCGATAAACGGATCAAACTTCTTCTTCGCCCAGGGGAGATGAAGGCACGCCTCGAGCATTTCAGGCAAGAGGCCGAGAGCAAATTAGCCCAGCCAGCTATACAAGAACCGTTGATTAAAATTCGACGGAATTTGCATCCACCATTCCTTGGGGAGGCTTTAGAAATATATGCGCGAATTCCATAAGAAACATTCGGCCAACGATCTGTATGGTTTGCCGAAAGCATGCCAGGACACCATTGATCTAGTCCTGACTTGTCCGGACGCCGAGCGCGTCATCCAGAAGACCTCTGACCCGGGATTGAAGGCAAGGTTCCAGCACATACGAGAAGCCCGTGTCCTTGGATTTGAAGTCGACCCATACACTGATATCGTTGCAGCCGACCTTCCTTTCTCAATGGAGGATCTTCAGTATTTACGATATCACTTCGAAGTATTTTCGGCGGTTTCTCTCTTCGGCCTCACGACCGATGAAGTAGCACGTGTTGCACGTCTGGATGCTTATCTCGATACCAGAGATGCCCGGCTACACTACCAAGAGCAGGTGCAGGTCCTGACCCCAAGCACACTGTCGATCTCAACCTCGCCTGCGGCGGTCACACAGAACCAACAAGCTGCCGAAGCAGCACCGCAGGTTCAAACCCTCGAAGAAGGGACAGAGGAGTCTTTTTGTCCAACTCTGACAAAAACAGAGCCCGCAGTCGTCGACCAAACGAGGGATGAGGTTAGCAAGGAGGGTCCCAACCCGATGGGCCCGTCAGTCTTGGATAACATGGAAATTAGTATGGTCCATGTGTTACCTGCTGATTTTCAATCAAGCACGGCTCAACCGAATTTCCTCGATGGTGATGTAGTCGCCGAGGAAACTGGCCATGTGGATTTTGTGTCTATTGCTGAAGATGAGTCAACAACGAAAGATGACAGTCTGAAGGCCGCTTTGACCGAATTATTTCCTCGTTCGTCATCGGCCGCACTCCACCATTTAAAGCCATTGTATGTGACGGCCCACATCGAGGGATATCCCGTTTTCTAAAGTTTTTGTCGACTGTGGCGCGACCGTCAATATCCTGCCTCTGAACATCATGAAGGCCTTGCGTCGCTCGAACGATGAACTTATTCCGTCAGGGATCACAATGAGTAGTTTCGTCGGCGACAAATCGCAAACCAAGGGTGTACTTCCGTTAACTGTGACTATTGCCGGTCGCACTCACATGACCGCTTTTTTTGTAGTTGATTCCAAAAACCGAGTATAATGCACTGCTCGGTCGAGATTGGATTCATCAAACCAGTTGTATTCCTTCCTCATTGTATCAAGTGCTTGTTTTTTGGGACGGCAAATCGGTCACTGTTCACCCAGCCGATAACCAGCCCTTTGAAACTAACATGATCCAAGCACGGTATTATGATGACCACGTCGGCTACATTACTTTGCAAGGCTTCAATGATGAAGGCCGGC